AATCAGAATACAAGCTCAAGATCAAAGGCCAGAGAGGGCATAAAACCAGGGACTCAGCATCTCAGTCCTCCCTTCCCTTCTTTTCCTCTCCACCAACATTGAAGCATGTGATCACCTTTTCTGTTCAGGACCTAAGCCATGTGGTCCTGTCCACCATTAAAACCATCTTTCCAAACAGCCTCCATGTCTCCAGTGTCTTTTTCCCCACTTGGAGCCGAACCCAGAAGGACATTTCTTTCATCAGGGATAAATTCTGCTCCTATGAAAATATAGTGAGTTTGTACAACTGCTGCAGTCCTCCATGCACAATAGGATACTTAGTTCAGGTGAGTATTTCTGCTTCCTGAGGTTTGAAAAACTATTCCTAGATGTCTAAAAATCTTAACCTGTTCAGTAGATCGCCCATCTAAGTTCCACCTTCTCTGTTTTGGGAGTTTAGAAAAGCAAAAATCTTAATTTTAGCATAATTAAATTGTTAGTTCTTCCTTAGCATAATAATGCATAACTGATCTATCTTTGGGTTAATTTAGGGGGATAAACTTTCTCTAAGAAATAAAACAAAATAAAATTCTCATTTATAAATAGATCTTTAAACCCTTGTCATTCTGTCATATCAAAAAAAAAATTGCCTACAGAAACTACCAGAAGCTATAATACACAATTTTGATTCTGAGTAAAAAAGTTCACTATATACTTATTTTTTGTTTACTTTTAAAAAGCTTGATCTTTAATTCCATCAAATAATGTCACACAAGTTGATTTCTTATCATTTTCTCTTTGTCTCCAAAGAGGAACAACTTCAGTAGTTTAACATATTAATAAATCCAAGATAAGAAAATTTCCAGATCATTCTTCTGGTTTATTATTTGTATGTCCCCTTTGATAAGACACCAGCTCTTTAATTTGTAAATCCATTGTGGCATCTTTTTCATACCACTCTTATATTCTTGGTATTTTAAAGTCAATTTTTGGCTCCACAGCATTTTTTTCCATGTCATTTTTTAATCTGGCATTTTTTAAAAGTCCAAATACCCATTGAAACCAGTCTCAGTCTCTGTTGTATCCAGTGAAATTTGTTCTTCTTTATCCTATGTTATAATAACAGATAAGCCTATAAGTGATTTCTGAGTGGCTTCTTCCTCAAAAGGCTTTATTTATTCTATAGTCAAATACTGTTGCTCCATTACATTAACGGGTCTCTTCTCCTTTAAATACAATCCTTAGTTCTCTCCAATTCCTTCTAGTCAACCTTCAAAGTCCCCTCTCCAGCCAATCAAACTTTCCTGCAGATTTATTACAATTAATTTCAAAATTAATTTCAAAAGAATATATTTATAAAATTTTAAATACTCCACAATAAAAATACTTTAAAGTCCATCTAGCCCTTTGACTTCCCAAATGCACATTGTATCCCCTCTTTTGCTGTTTTCTAAAAATTAAAGCTACTGTAATTAAACCTTAAATCTACATAGAATGTCTTTCTTCCATGGGAGAAGACTGTCCTTGTGTAATAAAACTTGTCCTTTGGACTGTTCTTAACGTCTAGAAAATCAACAATAAGTCGCTTCCTAAAGCAGTTAAGACAAAGTATGCAAACCCAGGGTCTCTTTGCAGATGCTGAATCACAGCTTAACCAGTTTGGTTAATTTGGTAGTTTGCTAACTGGCAATTAACCAATTTGATCTTATTGTTAAAGCACCAGGCTAGAAGTCAGGAGCCTGTGGGTTCTAATCCTGCATTAGACACGGAAGCTGGCTGGGTGACTTTGGACCAGTCACTCTCTCTCAACCCACCCCACAGAGTAGTTGTTGTGGGGAAAATAGGAGGAAATAGGAAAAAAACTAGGAGGAAGAAAGCGTACTGGGTGTGTTTGCTGCCTTATTTCTAAAAATAAAGATGGGATTTTAAAAAATAAAAAAAAATGATCTGTTCCAAAACTGCTGGAGATCGGTATTTTACAATAACTTCTCAGGAAGATTCTATATAGAGTAAACTTGTGGGTGATCCTTGTCCTCTCCTTCATCCAGGGAGGAATTCTGAGGAGCTGATCTATGCAATGCAAAAGTGGAGGCATCTTCAATCCACCATTCAACCCTGGAAGTCAACTCTAAAAGGACTAGAGTGATGTGTCAAACAATGAAATTGAAAGAAATGCTATAAATGATTTAACATTAAACAGTGGTTAAGATGGGGATGTAGAATGCAAAATTCCATATATTTATATATACTTATTGGATTTGGAGGCCACCCAAAATGACTGTATGTTTCAATGTAGGACCGAAAAATAATACAAAGAATCTGAAGTCTCTATGCAATAACCCATACATAAAAAATATATAACAACTGCTCTTGGTAATATTAAAAGTTTGGAGACTTGAATGGGCATGTTTAGATGAGAATAAGACTGTTGGTGGCTGAGAATCCAAATGACCAACAGTAAATGTTAGAAAGTGTGACATTGAATAATTTTTTTAGCTTATGATGAAAACATGAGGGAAGTTAACATATCCACACAATTCACACAATTATATAGTGACATAGAATGAACATTTATGATGCAACAAGAAGTAGAGATCAGGATGGAATTATTGCAAGAAATAGGCAAATGGTGAGAAATAGAAGCAGTTGGAGCTAACTTTATCTCGAAGGCCTGTTGGCTAATGGGTTTATGTTGTTTATGCATTTGTTTCCAAGGAAACAAGGCTTGGCTGCACTAAATATTAAAAACCGTATTGACTGAGAGCCATAAAGAGATGCCCGCGCGCGTGTGTGTGTAAGAGAGAGAGAGAAATGCTAATGGCCCATAAGTGCTGGGGTGGTGGTCGGTAGCTACGGATGTTTCTGCCAGTTCAACCACGCGGAAAGCTTCAAGTCAGCGATGCCGGTTACCGGATCGCCCATCGGAGTCTTCCAGTCCGGGCAGCAGGGGGCAAGCAACGGCTCCTCGCTGCTCGGGGCCAGAAAGTCGGCCTCGGCTTCCTCCAGGCCCCGAAGGCCCCGGTTGCCCGGTCCAAGCCGGGGGCGGGTAGGGGGCGGGTCCCTGCTGAGAAAGCTCGTGCTGAGCTGCTCTGAGAAGAGCTGAGAGGAGACCCTGGCCGGGGGAAGGACTGCCACGCAGAACTCTTTGAAAACGTCAAGACCCGCTCGCTTGTTGTGTCCTTCTTGAGGTGCTGTCAAAAGAATTAGCCGATTTTAATAAAGCATTTTGCTGAATACTAATAAAAGGAGAATATTTGTAGCTTAGAGTTGACATGAGGGCTCCTTGGTGCTCTCTAAGCTTGGTGGTTTTCTTGCAGACGTTTCATTACCCAACTAGGTAGCAACATCAGTGCTACGATGTCGCCATCGTCATCATCAGCACTGGGCAGCTGGGGGGATGAAACGTCTGCAAGAAAACCACCAAGCTCAGAGAGCACCAAGGAGCCCTCCTTTCGCTACGTGCCCGTGGGACCTAGGTATCGTGGCCGGCATCCTAACTGCGGTTCTTCCGAGACTATCCGAGGCTCCTCGCCCGTCCACGGTGCCCGTCCAGAGGCGCTCCGGGCTCCGAACTCCCCTTTGGCGCCATCAGGAAGGGCGCGGGGGAAAGCGCAGGTGCGGGGCGTCCTGGCATCTCGCCCTCCCCTCAAGAGGAGAGGGCAGCCGCAGAGACCCACGCGCCACTGCTTCGTCGGGCGGCGCGCACTGACCCCCCCCCCCACCTCGCCTGCAGGGCTGCCCGCGTCACGCCGCCGCGCAGCCGCCGCCGCCCCCGGCACCTCCCCGCCCCGGACGCGCGACCTCCCGCCCCGCGCAGCGCCGATCCGGAGAAGCCGGTCAGGGAAGCTCCTCCCCGAAGCGGCCGGGAGAGCCGCGCAGCCGGAGCCAGAGACGCTCCCAGGCCGGACCGCGCAGCAAGCAGCCAAGCGACGCTCCGCCAGCCTCGCCCGAAGCCCGTAAGTGGCCCCGCGCTCGCCCCCCCCGCCCCCCGGGAAAGGCCTCCGGGACTCGGGTCCGCCGCTCGCCGCCCACAGGGCGTGCAAGGCGGCCGGCGGCGCTTGGAGCTCCTCCCGGGCCCGCCCGCTTCCCTTCTGGAGCCATGCCCGCCGCCCGCGCCCGGCCCCTCCCCGCCGCTCGCGCGCCTCTCGGCCGGCTTCGCAGAGCCTCCTCCGCCCAGTGCTGCCATGAAGGGCTGGGGACAGAAGCTGGAGCTGCTGACAGGTAAGGCGCCTCGCGGGCGGCCCTGCTTGGACGGGGGGCGGGGGGAGGAGGGGGCTGCGCCCAGCCACCTCTGGCGAAACCCGGCCGGGTCGACGAAGGCGACGAGGCAGGATCGGCTTTTGGCCCGGCTCACCCGCCCCCCGCCCTGCCCGCTGGGGGCTCGGGGGTTTCGGTGGCGGGGCCGGTGCAGCTCTTTGAGCGCAGGAGTCGCCCCTGTTGCCCCGCCGCAGGCCGGCCGTTGCCAAGGGCAGCGAGCGCCGGGGCGGCGACTGCGAAGGGTTTAAATACGCAGCTGCCCGGCCCCTCCGGCACTATCCGCCGCGGCGCCTCAAGCCCGACTTGGCCTGCACGGCCGCCGCAGAGCCGGGAAGGCGATCTGGCCGAGGATAGCGGGTTCCCCGCCCAGGCGCGGGACGGGGGGGGTGACGGGGGAGGCCCTCCCTGGGGAAACGCCCGGCACCCGCAGCCGCTCCTTGGGGGCATCCGCGCCTTGGCTGGGAAGGCAGTCCGGGGAGGGCTCCCGGTGCCTGGGGATGGGCGTGTAGAGGTACGGTAAATAAATGGCTGCTTCGGGTTAACGCCTGCTTAATGCTGGGATGGAAATGACCCAGTGCCGCAAGATGCGTGTGGAGCCGCCGGCAGGCGTTGCTGGCAGGGCAGGGCTGGTCCCCGAATCCCCCCTTGGAAATCGCTCTTTTATTCCTTCGCTCCTCCGCGGAAAGCCTCCGCTTTCTGGTCTTCGCTCTGACTGCTTTGGGGGAGAAAAGGGGGCAAAGGAAGAAGCGGAAAGCCGAGTTTCTCGAGCGGTGGGGGCTGGAGCTTCCCTTGGTGCAAGGACAGGCGCTTCGAGACTGCAGCAAGAGAGTGGCTGGCCCGGAGACCTCGCCTCCCCCACCACCACCGAGGGATTCCTCTGCATCGGAGAGGCTCTCGTGCCAAATGCTCTGCGGGGGGAGCGAAGGGGGCAGGTTGGTGTCGATGGACTACCATTGCTCACGGGAGGGAAGACGAAGCCTGCCTTCCCCAGAACGATTCTCTCGGGTCACCGACCGTGGGCCAACGCCTCGAGCCAGGCTTTGTCTGGACTAAGGAGCCACCCGAAGGGAGAGGGGCGGGACAGGGCAGGGATGCAGGATGAACTTGGCAGGTGGCTGGCGAGGCCAGCACCTGAAGGTCAACCCTGACCAGCTGTGCAGAGACCAGCGATGGGGGCTCCTGTCCTGAAGGCCGTTTGTGGGTCACATATTCTTCTGATTCTAGGCAGTTTATCACTATGAGAGAAAAGGAATAAAGCCATTAAGACCCACCCCTTCAACCAATAAATAATAAACATCACGATTGAAAGCTGGAAAGGAACACACAGTTCGCTATCAAGCAAGTCTGAAAAGGCTGTTTCCACTCTTTCCAAACCATGGGGGGGGGGGGCGTTGGTGGGTTTGTATGTGTGTGCGAGGACACAACTAATCTCAGGTTCCAACTGTTCCAGAGGCAAGAGGGCTTCCACCCCAAAAGCCTCATTTGACTGTCTACAGATTCTGCCTGAAGAAGACAGTCCCAACGGAAGGCTACAAGGACCAGAGCCTTGGGGGTGGTTTCTTTTTCTGCAGCTATTCCGTCTCAAAGCATTTCTCATGGTATGAAAATGAAACTTAAAGGAGAATTAAAGAACAGAAAGTTGCAAATCACCCTCCACAGATTTATGTGAGAGACTAGGCTGCATTCTCCCAAACACCAGAAGGCAGGACAAGAAACAGCGGATGGAAACTAATCCAGGAGAGAAGCAGCCTAGAAATAAGGAGAATCCTGACAGTGAGAACCATTAACCAGTGGAACCGCTTGCCTTCAGAAGTTGTGGGTGCTCCATCCCCGGAGGCTTTTAAGAAGAGGACTAGACAGTCATTTGCCTGAAATGGGATGGGGAAATAGAAGACCCTTCCAACTCTGTTATTCTGTTGCAGGATGCCTCATTTCTCAGCTCCTTTGGGGATGAAATTTCACCCCAAGATTAACTGTTTTACAGAGAATGGCAGAGGAACAGTTGTAAAGCATCACCATTTGTTGGGTTGTTGACTAGAAATCTTAGGCATCACCATATGAAGGGTGGCTAAATGCAAAAATGATGCAAAATAATCATAGAAGAGATGCCAGCTACATCCTGTGGCTTTTTGAGACACCCCCCTCCCCACCTCTGAAGCTGAGAAATGGCAGCTCTGTTGCCCTGCCCAGCAATGCACTTCAGGAATGGGGTCCAGGCCTTTGGCTTCAGTCCTCTCCTGCCCCTCCTGCATGGGGGGGCGGGCAGGCTGGGATCTGCCTTTTGTCTCAACCTCAGATTTTAAGTACTTTCTGACTGACAGATCTCTGACTATTGCAGGTTTTGCTTATTGTTTCAATCTCAAAACAAATTCAGCAGTTTTGAAAATTTCTCACTATTCCCCTAAAATTAATTTTTCAGTGTAATCAATTTTGAGTTCATGTTAGCTTCTCGAAAGATGTATTTAGTGGCAGGTTTGCAGTCCATGAATTTTGAATAAAGCCTGCCTGGCCCAGTCAGAGTCACTGGTTGTTTCCAGCGGTTGTCTTATCAGCAACAGGAGACAGGAGAAGGGAGCTGTTTTGGGAGATACTCTTTCGTTCCTGATGTGGCTGGGATCCTGTTATGGGGAAGCTTGGCTACGTGGCCCTGTTTCCATGCCCACCACATTACTGTACATTACTAGTATATCACCAGGACGCTCCCATCATCTCGGAGGGTCTGTCTGACCCCAGTTTTGCTTCTGCTTGTCTTGTCACATTCCCTGGGTCTCCTCCGCAAGTGCTCTGTGGTCCATACATCTTCCTCCCTTGAAGGATAGGAACTAACTTTTGTCAACATGACAGCTTCTTCACATTTTGAGACAGAAGCCAAGGTGTAGGATAGATTCCTGTGGGCCTCTGTAGTGCAGGCTTTCTGTTCCAAGGCTCCTGCATTCCTAGTCAAATGCTCTTTCCACTACAGGGTGCTGTAGACCTCCTGGGTGTGGTTGTGACAGGAGTGGACTAGTGCTGGCTGAAAGGTGTGGGACAGCAGGATGTGGGAGGAGTGACCCATAGGGGTCCTGGAAAATCACAACTCTCATTCCTTTTGTTCAATTACTCAGGACTCTGGGTTGGAGAAATTCCCCAACCACTACGGGGCTCAGATGGATATAAAGCAAACAAAGCCAAATAAATAAATAAAATATATTTTGACAATAGTAATGTCCTGACTGGTTCCGCATTTGGGGTATGGGGTTAGGGTTTCATGGCCACTAAAGGATGCAGCAGGGAGGGGATATTCAAATTGCAAAATGAAAAATCATAAAGAACAGGAAAAATAGAGGAATGTATTTTTATTACTCCAAAAATAAAACTATCTTATGGCTGCTTTTCAGAAAAGCTAAAAATATACAGCAGTTAAGCTGATCTAAATGCCTGTAGCTTGCAATGCAGAAGATAATGAACACCCCCTCACTTTGCTGATAAAACTGTAGTCTACATTGCAGACAAAAGACTTATTAACTAACCAGACATTGGCTGTAGAGGTGTCTATTACTTTTTTGCTCTTAAGGAAGCAGCTCTCCAACCATAAGACCCCAGTGTTAGAAGGGACAGCAACCTTTTTTGTCCAACCTGCCTAGGAGCTATTCAGTTTGCAGCCGTCAGTCACAAGATGCTCTCCAGAAACTCACTTGTGCATTTAGTAACTAGTCATTGTGTACTTGATCCTGGTAGATAAGTTGCTTCACTTTGCAGACAAGAAAGAAGATGTTAGCGAGACAGATAAAGACAGGAGATCTGCATATGGTCAGCCCGGGGCTGAATCTGAAGCCTTCTGTTGCCCTTCCTTGTCCATGGACTTTGGCTTCTCTTTTTCTGGCCTTGGGGGAGAGGCACGTGGGCTTCATGTTGACATTCAGTTCTCTTGCCTGAGCACTGCTGGTTCCTAGCTGACTAGCCTGAACTCTTGCCAAAGTCATCAGTTTGCTTCCTCAGTTGTGGCCAGGAGAGCTTTGACTGAGGTGCCAATTTCTGCCCTTTCTGGAACAGGCCTCATAATTCAACCTCTGGCATTTACTCTGGGGATGCTCTTGGCATCCAACTGGTTCAAAAAGCAGCTGCCCTTGTGAGCATGGATCCAAGCTGCATGAGCTAACCATCTAACACCGTTCCTGGTTGCTGCTTGGCTTCCAGGTAAAATTAAAGGTAGACACAGTTGCCTCCTGGATTACCTGAGAGGCTGCCTCTGATGGAATCTGCCCCTCCGTGGGCCCTGCCTGCTGAAGGTCTGGATAATGGGCGTTCTGCCACAAGTCTCCTGCAGAAGAACCCTCACCCTGGAGGTGGTCTCAGCTTTTGGATCTGGCTCTTCTACGGAGCCTTTAGGGATGAGATTGATGTGGTGGAGGATAGGATCGAGGGAGGATGGCTGAGAGCAACAATTTGGTGTCATGTTAAAAACACACTAGAAACAGGAGACTGCCTTAGACACAAAGCCAGCTGGGTGCCAGTCACTCTCGGGCTGCAAGAAGGAGGCAATGGCCCTGGCAAACCACTTCCAAAAGCCTTGCCAGAAAATATGCAGGGACATGTCCAAGTGTTTGCCAGGAGTCAACACTGACTCAAAGCCACACACACAAAGGATAATCGGAAGGTGTCTGTCAGCACCTCTTCATTGGGTAATTAAGAAAGAAGACCACGAGACTCCATAGGTAGAAATCAAGTGTACTTTTACTAATTA